CTATCACGGGAACAATTTTAAAATGATTTCAATCAAATCTTTAAGTGATTTTAATTTCATTTTAAATGATTAATTTTAAATTGTTTTTTCAACATCTAAATATATATACAAGTGAGTACAGTACTCTACGTGGAATTGGGTGACGATAAAAAAAATGTAAGTAATGCATTTAAAATATGAAGTCAATTCATTTCCTTCAAGCACCAATTGCCAGTGATGGTTTTGAAATATAAACATTTAGCAATGTGTAATATATTTTTAATATTGGTTTCATCAATGTCTTTCGACCTAAGCTAAATGGTAATGATGAAAAATTGATCATTTGCTTAGAAGCAAATCTCTTATTAAATCTAAAATATTATGGCATAAAATCAAACCACACAAAAAAAATGCCCCACATTATGTTATCCCCCTTTGCTTTTCTGAAGAAAAATAATGAAGGTTTTCACATAGTGTAAATGAAAACGAGACACTGAAATTTACTGAGGCAAAGACAGATTCTATAAAATTAAAGCCCTCTCTAGTACCTTGACTGTAATCTTAACAAGTCACTACATTATTTCAATTAGCAGCGTAATTTTTCGAGGGTGAAAACAAGTGCGATTAATTTTATCATTGTCCCTAAAATTCCCTGTCAAATCAGACTCTGATATAAAGGCCTGGGTAATTCTGGCCCATCTTAATTAAACTGTAACTTTATTTTAAACTTCCGTATTTTATATCCAATAGAATTTTAGGTTTGCACGACATACATTCCTCAGGTCCAGTCACATTAAATTCTGATGTTAAGCAGAAAGGGGAAACCATGTGCAACTAGATTAATTTATCTCAAGGGAAAAAGGGCACATTAATAATTGAGATAATGTTTTCATAAATGTTGAAATCAAACGTGCCTTTCACTTCTTTATTAGAAAACACATTAGAACAAAATTATCTCACTCTCATCAAAAAGACCTAATTGCTGAGAAAGACTATGTTTTCTTTGCAAAATGTTCAGAAAGACTTTTCTCATTTTGGCCAAAGAGCTAGAAATATACCATGCATCCAAGTCTTGCTGGAATAAATGTATGTAAGCAAAAGCGAGTGACTGTTTAATCCATCCTGTAATGTTTTTGTTTTAAACTCAGTGAATTTATTATTTTTTGTAAAACACATTAAAATCTAATTCTAAATGAAACTGGCCAAAAAAAAAAAAAGGCTAGTAATTTGGCTTTTAGTTTGTTAATCTCCTTAAACTACAAAAGAAAAAAAAAAATCACCTGGGCTCCTGGCTTTAAAAAAAAGAGAAAGAAGAAAAAAAAAAAACAAACCTCCTAGAATTTCCCTCAGATACCCCCAAAGAGCCAAAATATATTGAAGTAATGGAATGATATTGAACTTCCTTTAAATTGCTATATTTTTAAGAACCAGGATTAGCACAAAGAAAATATTAACTAAAAGATGACAGCATACTGACAAAACAATCAAATAAGCTCCCCATGGCTGATGTATGTTAAATATTAAAAAGTCATTTTCTACAAAGAAAATAGAGCTTTTAATGATTAAACAAAAGCAGTAACTAAGGTGAATCTGATTGTTTCTGTAATAAGCCTTCATGTGTATAATAAAGTACAGCCATACTAAAAACAACGGGCTGTAAACTGAAACAAAAATCCATCATCTACTTGGAAACAGTGACGGGAAAAGATTAGCCATCCATTTATTGTACTGAAATAAAGATAAGTAACCCCCGTAAGATCCGCCAGGCCCCGAGTATTGAACTCTAAATATAAAGACATTTCTTCATCAGCAAGTGACTTGAAAAAAAATGTGAGCAAGAGAGACGATTCCAATTGACTTTTAAAATGAAATAGTAACAATTCGACTGCTTTTAAGTTTTTAAAGATCTGCTTTATGTCAACCTGATAATCTGGAAGATGTCTAAAATAATGTGTTTTTTTGGGGGCGCCTGGGTGGCTCAGTGGGTTGAGTCTCTGCCTTCGGCCCGGGTCATGATCTCAGGGTCCTGGGATCGAGCCCCGCGTTGGGCTCTCTGCTCGGTGGGGGGCCTGCTTCCCGCCCCCCTCCCTGCCTGCCTCTCTGCCTACTTGTGATCTCTCTCTCTCTCTGTCAAATAAATAAAATCTTTAAAAAAAAAAGAATTTTTTTAATGGATAATTATTACATGAGTCATTAAATAATTAGTGCCGAAAATTTCCTATAGATCTACCGTGTATTCCGATGATGGAATCTTTCTTAATAGGAAGAATACGATGATGATGATGACTTTTTCCACAAGAGAATTTAGGTTTGAAAGCAAAGACTAACATTTCAGGAACAATCTAACACTTAGACTCTCCCGTCGTAAATTTGACTAAATTCAAAGTGTCACGTTTCGTTAAAAAAAAAAAAAATCATAAAGCTTAAAATTAAAAATAAACTCAGAGTTCATGGCATAAAAATAATCATACGAATAAAAACCTGAAACCTATTAGAGTAAGTGTTTTATCTTACAAATGGACATTGGCCCTAAGTTACCTGGCCCTGCTCTATCACATTTTATAGGCTCTCCCAGGAGACGGATACATTTTGTACGGCTGCAGTTTTGATCACTTTTAATATCCCTTCCATCCCCGCAATGTTTGCTTATTCTAACTGTTCTAACAGATGATAAAAATAAATAGATCATGTTCTGAATCTACAAGGAGGGATCTGGAGAGGATTCAAGCACGCACACACCCGGCAAGTCATCTTTCTAACACAGAACCACCTCCCATACCTAAAACAACAGGGAAGACGCACTTCCTCTCCACTGAGGCATCAACAACATCGCTCAATTCCCACTCTCCTTATTTCGACAGAATTTTAACTTAATCAAGTACAAGGAAAAGCACAAAAAGAAGGCTCTATACTTTTCGGTATTAATATCTATCATTATATTCTGTTTGTGTAGTGATCTCCAGCCAACATCCCATTCATATCCAGATCCTTTAAAGTAAAACGAAACAATGAACTATTGGGTTGTTGGTTGATTTTTTTTTTTTCATGTTTATGACTCCATCCCCTGACACTCTAAAAATAGATGAACTCCAAACCTGGGGCATCAGAGGGCAATACGACAGTGTTCAATTTTACCATTTGCAGATGGAACAAATCTGTACCCTTGAACAACTGCTTCACCATCTCCTCGGAAAAGTATTGGCAGACCTTAAACTGTAGGGTATTAGAGCTCCTAATAACACTACTGGAACATGAAAAGTGCCTGGAAGTGTTTTATAAACTTTAAACCGCACTGGAGGTTACAACTAATTAGTCAGAAACAAAAACCAACTGGGAAATATTTCAAAACCAGATGCTTTGATTATTCCCCACTTGTCAGTTTTTCCAATCCAAAAAGCTCTAAATTCTAACCTGGCTCTACGTACCAAGCCATTTTCTCCTGCCATTTTCCTATTTAAAAAAAATCTGTTTAAAAAAAAAAAAAAGAAAGAAAGAAAGAAAGTGCCTTTCTTGACATAGTGCCTTTGGTGACATAAAGACGCCCAACATTTTCTTCCTCGCTCAAGAAATCTCATCCTGAAAGATTAAAAATGTGTCATTGTTTTTTCCAGTTTAGGAGCGAAATGGAAGCTGGGAGCCTGGATAAGGGTGGGGTGTGCGGCCCATGGCTGCCATGTTACCATCTTGGGCTCCTGGGCTGAGAGTTTAACCACTTAGCTCCCCGCCCCCCCCATCAAAGGGGGTTTTACCAGCTCGGGCCCCAGTGCCCAATGCCAACCTTCATGGAATGCTTGTGGAGACCAGATTTGTTTTTCACAACACTGTGTCTCCAGGGCCTAAGACGGTGCTGACTGGAGGGCTCAGCGAAAATCTGAGTGGGTTACTGAGTCCCCTGAGTTTTAGTCAGTGACTAGGCGGCAGCTCACAGGGAGCATGCCCATCCTGACAGGCCAGCAACCAAGTGTATGACACAATGAGTGTATGCAGAAATGACCCATTAACGGAGCCTTAAGGTCCTGGCCAAGCTGGCCTCTTGACAGACTTTCTTTTCTGGCCACTCCCATTATATTGCCTGGCCTCTGTGACATTTACATTTGGCCCTAAGGGGTAAGACTTCCACCATCTTGTATGTCAGAAATCACTCCATGGATGAGAGGTGGCTAAAGCTAGTTGGGGGGACCACCTATGGCTAAGAATCTGCCTCCTCAGCGCTGGATCTCAGAAATCAACGGTAAAGCTCTGGGAGAAATCTCAGATTAACATTTTTCAAATACACTACTGATTTTTAAATAATAGCCTGAGGTAAGATTGTGCCACTGAAATAATATCATTAATTGGGCGATATCAAAGTGCTCCAAGTTTCCCTCTGTTTTGATTCTCTCTCTTGTGGAAGGCTGCATGATTGTGCTTTGTCTGAGAAGAGGCAGAATTTGTGATTTTTCTGACTCATGAGGTAATTTTGCTTCCTTGGGACACCCTGAAAGTTATGAAACATGCCCCAGGCTCTCCAGTTCAGCATTAAGAAAAATGGTTTTATCTGAGAAAAGAAGCCTGACTCTCTTCTTCCCGTTTATGCTTATGTTCCTTCTTGCCCAGTGAACAGTGCCCGAAACCATCCTGGAAGAGCTCGGAATGGGACACAAAATTCACCTAGCTTACACCCCAATGCCCCAGCTTCCTCTGCTCTATCACCTCTGCTGGCTTTTCTTTCTCTCAAGACCCAGGGAGACCAACAGTCAAATCCAACCCAGCCGGAACAGAGGTTTGTTACACACAGAAACCTGGAGGCCCCGCCTTCCTGCTGGGTTCCTGCTGGGCCAGGCCAAAGCAGGCACCTCCTTTCTGCAGGTGTTGTGGACACCTTGGCATTTGCATGACCAGAGAAACCTATCTTCCACTGCCATCTGGAGAACAAGGGAGGCTCTCCCCAAAGCTGCTCCCCACCCCACCACCAAGGGCCAGGATCTTCGCCCGCCAAAGCTCCAAAGGGCTGGCAAAGTGCTGGGCCTAGAGGGGCTTACCTCCCAGAGATGCTGTGTGTTCCTCACTGCGCCGGCCTGCACCTTCTCCGGGGGCAGAAGGACGCCCTGGAAGGGCCCGATCCAGGTGCCCTGCTGGATCCTCTGCGCCGCGCAGATGCCGTAGGCCAGGCCGGGCACGGTGCTGGTGCACAGGCACACCTCCCGTGGCAGGTCCCGGAGCCACTCGGGCAGCTCCGGCGGGGGCGCGGCGGCCGCGGCGCTGCTGGTGCCCACGAGCCGGCGCAGCGAGTGCAGCGGCCCGTGCATGGGACACTCGCCGTTGCGGTTGTCCGCACACATGTCGCAACCTGCCGGAGACGGGCGGGAGGGAGGGAAGGAAGAAGGTTAACCCGCCGCTCCAGGCGGCCCCTCCTCGGGGAGAGAGACCCCGAGACCACCCCATCCCCTCCCGGGAAGCCACCCACCGAGTGAGCCCTGTAGGCCGCCGAGGCCACTGGGAAGGTGGGGACAGGGAAATTGCCGCACCCAAATCGGCCCAGTAGGGGGCAAGCCCCCTCACCCCCAGTGTCCCAAAAGGCTGGCGAGCTGGGTGTGGATGGTGTGGCTCTCGCTGAGGATCCCCCATGGCCTGCTTTCTACTCCTCGAGGTGTGTCTCTCTCTCCTTCTTCCCTTCTTTCTCTAGTTCCCTCTGCTCCTCTCCCCTGCTCCCAGGAGTCCTCTCTTGACCAGGGGTTTGCAGGTGTGTTTCTCACGGTGCCAGGAGCAGACCCCCATCTCTTGCTCAACCTTCTGTCTCAGAGAGATTCTACCTTGGTCGCCTGAGTATAATTGGTTTTCTTCTTTCTACAATTTTAGAAGATCCATCTAAAACCACTGGGGCAGGTGGGCTACCAGCCCAGCACAGAGCGCCCTGCTTACTCTGTAGGGACCCACCCACCCCCTGGTGCCTGCACCAGAGTGCAGAGTCACCGTGGCCCGCCGGTGGCCTCCAGCACATCAGACACTGGCCAATGAGGGCGCAGTGGCACTGGGGTCCGTGATGGAGCCCGCTCTGGCCACGGGTGGAAAAGGGGGGACTGTTCTGGTGGGTTTGGAGTGCCTATGCTGGAATGCAAGCTCTTCCCAGAAGCCAAAAAGGAATAAATTGCAAATTTAAGGATCAGGGTAACGGTTCAGCGGCGAGGGCCCCAACTCTTGCCCAGAGGGTTGATCCCCACGGCCGCACCACGGCCGCAAGCAATTCTCAGAACTGTTGTGAACAAGGCTCCCTCTCCGACGCCCCCCAGAGCAGCCAGCAGCGCAAGGGGACCCTTGCCCTCCCGCTGGGTCGGGTGGCTGTGGATGCCCAGGGTCCCTGCACTCGAACTGGATGGGAAAAGGCCAGGTGGCCGCGGGAAGCAGGGCCTGCGGCGACCGCGCTGTCGGATCGCAGCGCCCTCCGGGTTATTAATGGGCCTGGCGGAGCCGCGGTGTCTGCGCCCCGGCCCTGCAGACCTGCCTCAACGAGGCAGCCTCGGCGCCCGCCAGCGTGACCCGGCCTCCCCAGCCCAGCCTCCCTGGGGAGCTGCAGTGCCTCACCCCCTACGCAAGGGAGCCCTGTGGCTAGTGACAGATGGACGGACGGACGGACGGATGGATGGCAGGAACTGGGGCACATTCGGAGCCTCCTAGCTCTTGTACCTGGCTTTGGCCGCTGCCAGGCCTGGGGGATCGCTCTAAGTGTGTCCCATCCGTGCTAAGACAGAGGAAAGCCCAGGTAACCTTTGACAAAGAGAATCACTGAGGAATCTTCAAGGAAGGAACCCCTAAAGGTGAACCCCACTGCGGGGCGTGAACCCTGGTTTCGCCATTTGTTTCATCCCATCTCAGTGGAGAAGGGCTCCAGTCGGCCATGCTTCTCCTCAGCCCCCTATCCCGCACTCCTCCCAAGAAAGCCCAGGAGATGAAGGACCCTCTGACTGCAGGGGTCAGACCCCTCCTGGAGGGGTCCCAGTCCCCCCAAGTGAAAAGCAGCAACCTGTTTCTACAGGTGGGGAAGTGCCCATGCCTCTGGGCGTCCATCACACAAAGGCCCCCTCTCCCAGTAACACCAACTAATCCAAGTAGAGCATCAGGCTCTGCTTCCGACGTTAGAGCCTAGGTGGAAAGTATTCCTAACCTTACCATATGTCAGCCCTTCCAGAAACGCTTCACACATCCTCTCAAGCTTCTGACTGTGAAAAACAACAACTTCATGACAAGGGGGGAATGGAAAGAAAGAAAGATGATAAAAATTCAAAGTCACCCAGTGCCTATGGCATTCCAGACACCTATCTTGAACCAAATATCGTATCATGATCCCCATTTTGCAGATGAGGCAATTTGAGGCTTCACGGGCAATTTTAACGAGACCAAGGATCAGAAACTAGAAAGTGGTAGAAAGATTCAGTCAGGTTTGGATGACTTCAAAGCCTCCAGATCTAAAGATCTACGGAGACCAGTGAAAGTTGGGAGAGTTTTATACCCAAACACATAATCAATAGAACTGAAGTATTTCACTGAAAGCATTATGGAGGGGGGGGGGGGCACAAAAATTGCTCTAGCATCAGTGAATTGCAGAGATTTCTGCATCTCTCTCCCACACTTGGGTTTGGGGAGGTTAAACGTATCAGAAAGTGAACAGATGATACCCTGGATTCTGAATTTTAGTGTCTGACCTCAGAGATGACCTTTCAGCATCGTAGCAAAAACAGCTTAAAACAAACGGCAATAAGCAAAGGCAACATGCCCCGTAAAAAATAAAAATCAAATCACTCCAGGGAGCTGCTTAATTCCCTTTCCCTTTCTGGCTGGCTCAACCAGGCACAGGGTAAGGAGCAAGAGCATTTGGTATTCACTCCCCACCCGTTCACACCAGAGATCCTGTCAACTTCCCACATCTCCGCAACTTGTACTATCAGACCAAATACATCAGTAATAAAATAAGGAGGAAAAATACCAACTCCGGCCACCACCCCCACAGACAGCAAACACACTCCCCATATTTGTTACACAGGATAAAACTATGGCTAGCCCTTCCTCCAAGCGGTCCTCCGAAACTCTCTTCTCCCTAAGTTTCAACGGTCTCCAGCGGTGTTGAAAAACTTAATAGTGGCATTTTGCTTTAGAAAAAGCAGAGTTTCTCCCAATATGTAGAAGACTACTGGTGCGTGAAGTCCACAGCAGCGAAAGGGAGGCCAATTCACTTTAATTACATGAGTCTTAACTGATAAACCACCTCGTGCTTCCATCAAAATATTCTGCTGGAGATGACCAATGCCATCCAATTACATCTTATACCTTGTTGTTTTTTAATACACAAAACCTCTGCCATTGAAAACACCTGGCCTCTTACTCTATGTCTCAGGGTCCCAGAAGACCGTGAAGATGCCTCAGACAAGTTCAGTTATTATTCAGGGGTTGAGAAAAGCGGCACAGTGAGACAAACATTCTAGCAGAGTGTTTTCTAGAGAAGAGCCATAAACACCTATAAGAGGTCTGAGGGACAAGCTGACTAGATGCCCCAACTGCACCCCTCCAAAATGTATATCACACATACATTACACACTACATTCCACGCCAGGAAATACATAATACAAGTCTATTTGTATTCCTAAAGAGTAAGCAAATAAACGTTCTTGGGTTATCCTAAAATAAAAGGGTAATTTTCCGTAAGTCCCTAATTATTATTTGTAAAGTGTTTTCTATATCTGTGAGAAACATAATCAGAAATCTCCAAGCAAGATACTGTGCAACGCTATTTCTAGGATTAGGCAATAGGAGAGATCATGGTCCCTCCCTCCTCTGTCTCTAGTAGGTCTGTCAGTGCTCCTGTTTCTGCGCCCCTGAATGAGAGGAGGGAGCACCAGGTTACAGACTGAATTCACCCCGACTTGGGAAGGCCAGGCCAAGTGTAACGAAAAGCAGACTTTCACTCTTCATTTCATACCCTTGTGTACTGTTGGAGTATTTTTCCCACTACACACGCAACTTTTGCAACTGAAAACGGAGCTATTTGAAGGTAAAGGGGGGGGGCAAAGCAGGCCATGGTTTTCTTTCCTGGTGTTTCACTTCGCGTTCTAGGAAAGGTGAAATTTAAATCGTTTCGGGCCTTCTTTGCTGTCTGGGGAGGCTGACGGACGCGTGTGGGCCCCGGCAGAGCCAGGACCCGCGGGGAAAACCCCCACCAGACCAAGCCTCGGCTCCACGACGCCTTTAGGCCTCCGCCTGCCCTCACTCATCCTCTGGAAAGGACACCGAGATGCAGCTGAGAAGCCTGCCTCCCGCCTGGGCGGCAGTAACAGCCAAGCTATAAATCGTCCCCGACCGCTGGGGAGGTCGTGGCCCCCAGGCCCACAGGCCGAGCCCGGCGGGGCCGGCGCCCACCGATCCCGGCCGGCGAAGCGCCCCGGGAGTGCCGCCTGCTGGTAGCGGCGGGCTCGGGGTTGCCGGGGTCCGGAGACTGGGGGCAAGCAGGGCGCCGCGGCCGGAGGCTCCCACACCGGGGTGCACGCCCCCGGCCTCCAGCCTGCGCTCTGCCGCCAGCCCTCGCGCGCCAGCGGCTAGACGGGACGGGGCGGATGGCCAGGCCCAGGCCGGCTGGAGGTCCGGCACCCAAGTCCGAACCTTGAAGGCCTCGGCCCCTCCCTGCCAGCCGGGGACTCCCCGACGAGACCTAAGGGGCCGCGACACCGCCCCCTCCCCGCGGCTGCTGGCCTCCACCCCACTGGAGCCTTTCGGGCTCCCGGGAGAGGCCCCGGAGGCGCGTCCAGAAGGCGAGGCAGGCTAGCCCCGGCGGCCAGTGAGGGGAGCCGACTGTGGGCGCGCGGAACCTTCTGGAGCGCTCTCTCTAGGCGAGTTTAAAGCTCCCGGCGAAATCGCACAGGCACAGGGCTTCCCCCGCTCCGCCTGGCTGCCGGCTTGGCCCAGGGACCAAGAGCGAGAGACAAAAGGGGGAGGAACAGAAAGGGGGGGACGCAATGTGGATTTTACTTGTCTTCCGATGACTGTATTAATAAATTAAATGGGAGCGCCGGGGTGTGCGGGCGGGAGAATATTGCGCCGAGATAAACCTGGCTGGCCCCTGCCCCTGCGAGGCGGCCATACACAACACAGAGATGATGAATAGGAGGGAGAGGAGATCGAAGCGGGCCTGGGCTGGCTCCACTCTCCCCTACAAAACCATAGGGCAATTAATTGTGGCTTGTCCCCTCATCCTTCATCTCCTGGTGGCACATATCGATGGAGATTACTGCTGATGGACCATTTTATCACCTTAAATAAACAGTCGCCACCTCGTCTAACCTCAATCTAATATATGGCTCTATGTTCAGTTTCAGGGCGCTAGATAACGAATGATGTAAAATAGCTAAATCATGTGTGTTACGGGATGGGGCTGGGCCTGCACACAAAAAGAGAGAAAAGAGAAAAAGAAAAATAGAACAGGAAAGCCCACACGCTGGCTCCCAGCCTCCCTCCCACCAGGGACTAGGTCTGAAATCTAAGTCGCTGGCGGCTGACAGCGGGGACGCTGGGCAGGAGCAGCAGAGCCTGGGCCTTAGTGGCAGGAAGACCCCACTGTGGGGTTACTGGGCTCGGGAGCTCCCCCAAGTAGGACCTGCGTTTCCCAGCTGGATGGGAAGAGACTGGGGCAGGTCTGATAGTACCCTCCTTTTAGCGCGCTCTCCCCCTCTCTCTCTCCAACGGCTACTGGACAAACCCCGGATTCCCTTTTCTTACAAAGCCCCTCTCCCCCGGCCCTTGGAAAGGGTGGCGCTACCAAGATAAAAGCCTCGCGCCCGACTCTGACACCTGAGCACCTGCCAGTGCTGTTCCCTCCACTGTTCCCTGCATAGCAAGGCTCCCCCAAAGTGCAAGGAGGCAGAGACCTCCAGCTGGGGAAGTTGCAAAGCGTCCCCATCCCACGCGGAGAGACCCCCTGGGGAGGGCTTAGCTGCCAACTCCCTCCCGGATGGAAAAAAGGGACACCTTCCCTGGAAGGTCTGCAAAGGCAATCAGCCAGGCCCGAGGCACTGCCCGGTATCATTCGTACAAACACCAGGGGCGCCCTGTGGCCGCCTTTCCCTACCTTCCAAGAGGAGTGACGGGGTCTCAAGCAAGGCACCAGCTCCCCAAGCCGAGAAGAGGCAAACAGCGGAGGAGCCTGACCTAATCAGCGGCTTTAGGCAACCAAGCAGCAAATGCGGGCGGACGGTAATACAAGACACGGAAGAAAGGCCCCGTCTTCCATTTCTGTTACGCCACCGCCCACAGGGATTAGGGAGGTGAAAAAAGGAGGCAAATAGGCATGCAGAGAGTCAGGAGAAAGTGTACTTCCATGGTGGAATAAACCCACAGGGATAAGAGAAATATATGGGAAGAGTTCACCCCCGCCAGCATATACAGTGTCTGCTGTTTTTAAGTCCTTTCGTGTGAAAGCAAACTACAGGACCCTCCGCTATGCCTTAACTGAGGTCTTGGCCAAAGATGCCAGTAAAGTTTCAAGGTGAAGCGAGTGTTAATGATTCACACGTGTTACTGGGTTGTTGCTCCCAGGCAAAGAGGGACTCTCCTAAAGGGAAGAGAATTGAGGGGGTCCCTTTTTTAGCCTTGTAAGAGAAAGAAAATGACTCAACATCCTTTTAAATACAAAATAATAGAATGAAGCAATGCAGAGTGGTCACTTCACAGATTGCTTCTACAAGCAGATGGCAAGAACCTAAAAGGAAACTGGGAAACTGTATGCAGGGGAGAAAAATTAACAGATGCTTCCCTTCTTGGCAGCCCCTCACCCCACCCCATGTCACCCCCACCCTCGTATAACATGGGAATAAGCAGCAGCTCTGGTTTTCACCACCTTTCAAGTAATAGACCAACTTCCCCCAAGAAGGGGGGGCCCAAAGTTTCCCACCCTTTGCATTTCGATTCTGTTTTGACCCCCTCTCCGCCGCCCCCTCCCCCAGATTAAACTCAAGCACTTCTCACTCTATCTTTGGAAAACACAACCCAAGGTTTCCAATGAGTGTATACTCTGGCCCAGAGAAGTTTCTGGAAGGATGGCAGGCCCCCTCCGCCAGCATTACACAAAGCTCCTCAGCTTTCCATTTTCTTTCTCAAAGGCCCTTTAATTAGGAAACAAGGAGAAGTGCAACCTCTAATAGGACAAACTGCCTTTCTCTGCCTTCTGTGGTCTCCCCCCCCCCACCTCCCCACACTTTGCACAGGGAAGCAGTTCAGTCAGTTAACTTAAAAGGGGATACCGGAAGATTAACACAATGGGAATAATTTAAATAAATCATAATCCATTTCCTCCGTTCAGAGGAAAATGTTACCTGGATGATCCAATGGCTCAATAACCACATATTAACTAGCAATCTCTCCCAATTCTTTCTCAGATTAATCTAGGTTTTCTTCTGAAAATGCACTGAACCTTAAGACTGCACTGTGAACAATACAGGAGCCCAGGGCACAGCCAGAGGTCTAGGGTGCTGCTGCTGCCATCTTTTCCGACACTCATTTAATTCAGCAGAGAAACTGCAAGTTTGATGAGGCACGCTCAGGCCACAATGCCTATATTTCAGAACTGTCTTTTCCAAAGCGTTTCTTGTCTTTTTAATTCACATATTTTTAAAAAAGAACTGTTTATGAACACAACATAGTCAAGAAATTCAGAAGGAAGATAAGTGGGTTTTTTTTAATCCATTAGGACAATATAATTTTATCAAATCTTCTAAAGTTCCAAAATAGACAGGGCAAATTCGAGGAGAAACCCTCATTTTAAACCAGTACTTTACCCTCAAGCTCTGGAGAGGGAAAAAGTAAATATAACTGTTCTTTTTTGTTAGTAATAATTATCTCCATCAGAAAAACGATCCCCATCCCTTATGAAAAGACTGAAATACCACCATCCCTAGGCTCGTGTCTAGTGTATCCTCATCAAAGTAATGACTCTGGGAGTCCTTTAGCTAAAACCTGTAGTTATTTTGCTTTTACAACGAATTAAGAAGTTCAGGGAATTAAGAAGTTCAGGGAGCGGGAGACATTCTGCAGGAAGGGGCTTACTCAAAATAGAATGATTATACGTGTTGATCATCAACTTTCCTCCTGCAGGAACTGAAGGAAGGAATGAGATGAAAAGGGCCAAGTGAGCGCTGAGCTTTCAAATCCTCTACTGCTTTCAACCTGACTCTCTTCTCCTTTAATATTCTCTCCAGAGATCTCTGGAACTATGTGGAGCACCTACACCAATGCCTTAGGTGTTCACATCATAACTTCTGACACTACCAAAAAGAACTGGGTGTGCACCAATGCACATTCTTGGCCTTCATTTAGCCTTTTGTTGCGAGACCTTAAAACAGAGCTTGTACTTGTGAGCAGCGTTTGAAACTCTGAATATAGGCATAGAAGCTAGAAGAGACTCTCGAGCTCTAATTAGGCTTTTGCCTAATTTTTGAATTAGGCATTTGCCCTTTCCTGGGCAACAAGGAGAGTACGCCGCTAATACTAAAACACTGTCACAATCCTTAAAACAAAACAAAACAAGTAAACCAACAAGCGTGCCTACGGATTGCGAATGTTTAAACGATCGTGGGTGCAGGGAGAACGCGGGATCCGCAGGGAACGACCCCACCCTACAGTCGGAAATGTTTTTTCATAAAGCAGCTGAAAATTTTTCTTTTTCTCCTTTCTAAATAAATAGAAGACCTAATAATAATGCATGCCTGCGAGAAGAAACTGACCCAGTGTCAACCAAAATTCTTACTCCAGCGGCTTTCAGCGGGTCCCCTGACAACCCGGCGGCCCGAAAATAAGCAGATGAAGTTAACTCCAGAAGCAAGGTTTGGAGAAGGAGACACAAGCCCTGGAATTCACGGTCCCCAGAAAAACTGAGCGTCTCTCCCGTGCCCCACTGAGGCCAAGCTAAGCTCCCGAGTGCGCTGCTCGTACCCGCCCGGCCCCGGGCACAATCCCACGGGAGGCCAGAGATCTGTGTGCCCGGTCCTCGAGCAGCTCGGGTTTAAATACGCGGGGCTGCGAAGCAGGGAATGAGGGGGAAAGGAAAAGGGAACCCCCAGGGGCCACCCGACTTCCCATACGTTCTCTCGCTTTCTCTAACGGGAAAATTTTGCCACAATGGTCTGAGAGGTGCACAGCCGCGGCCTGGACCAGCCCACCCCCCGGAGTCCCAGCTCGGCTCATCCGCCCCGCTTCCCCGCTTCCCCGCTGGGCGCCCGCGCTCGACGGCGCCCGCGCCCCTGGAGAGCGCGCGGGCTGCAGCTACGTACGGTTGTTGGGGTCGCTGGTGTGCTGGTTGAGCGGGATGATCTCCATGCGCTGCTGGCCGTACAGGTAATAGTCCAGCTCCTCCGCGCTGCAACGGAAGCGCGGGCCGCCCCGCAGGTCCCCGCCGCTGCCGGCGCACTTGGAAGGGCCCGGGCCCGAGGCGGCGCCGAGGCACAGGTCCTTGGGGGGTAGCGGCTCCGCGGCGATGGCGGCGGCGGCCAGAGGCGCGAACACCGGCAGCTGCGCCACGGGCAGGGCCGAGAGACCCGCCAGCGCGGCGGCCGCGGCGGCCGCGGCGGCGCAAGAGGAGGCAGAGGAGGCCGAGGTGGAGGAGGACGCCGGAGTGGAGGAGGCGGAGGAGAGCGACGCGGGCCGCGGCCGCAAGCTGTCCGGCGGAGGCTCTGCGCGCTCTGGAGGCGGCGGCGGCTGGAGAGGCTGCGGCGCGCCCAGGGGACCCGCGGCGCCGCCGCCCTTGAGCGGGCCGCCGCTGCCGCCGTGCGGGAAGAGTTGCTGCCAGTGCTGCAGATAGGCTGGGTCCACTTTGAGAAAGGCCGAGCCGCCGGGGTCTCCCGGCTTCAGCATGTCCAACCTCTCAAGCTGGGGGCAGAGGGTAGAGAGGAGGGTGCGCGTGAGCCGGGCCCCAGGGCTGGGGAGGATGACCGCCTAGACCCCGGAGCGAGAGCTGAGCTCCGGGCTCCTCCTGCTGCCGCCCGGCGCCGCGGCTCCCTCTTTCCAACTCCGCTAGGGCGCAAAGTTTACTCTGAAGCCGTGGCGCCGCTCGAAGGGAGCTCCGTGCACCCCGCCTTGCTTCCAACCCGGGGAGCCCAGCTCCCGGCCCGCAAGTTGAAGCCCGGCGCGAGGGCTCTGGTCCGCACAGCTCGGCGGCAGGAGGTAGCCCCCGCTGTCGGCCGGCGCCCGGAGCCGACCCGAGCCGGAGTGGCGCAGCGCCGGAGCCTCGTTGGCCTCCCGCGCCAGGAGGCGGGACAGTCTCGCCCCCCCGCCCCTAGCCCAGGATCTCCAGCCTCCTACCCAGGGGGCCCAAGACCCCCAGCCCTAGACTAGCCTCGCCTTACCTGGAAACTCGGAACTGCCGGCGGGTGCGTGGGTGCGTGCGTGCGTGTGTGTCTGTGAGCGAGCGGGAGAGTGTGCGTCCCGGCTGCGCTACATGCCCCTGCGCGGCGGAGAAGGAAAGCCCTTGATGTGGTCCGGCAGCCCCAAACCCTCCCTGGCCTCTAGGGACCGGCGCGGAGGCCGGCGGAGCGCGCTGGAGCAGTTCAACCGAGCGCGCGGGAGCGCGGGCCGGCCGGGGCGCGGATCCGAGCCCCGGTGGGCTGCTGCGCTCGGCCGCCGCCGCGTCCAGGTCCCTCAGCTCCACGCTCTGGCAGCCTCCCGGCTGGACACGTGGGTTTTACGACAGCACAAAATACAAATGTGTGCGTGTGTGTGTGTGTGTGTGTGTGTGTGTGTGTGTGTGTGTGTGAGAGAGAGGAGGGCGGGAGAGAGAGAAAAAGAGAGAGAGAAAGAGGGAGAGAGACAGAGGTAGGGAGTCGGGGGAGGAGGGAGGCAGGCCAGAATCACGAAGGGGAGGGGAGAGGGTAAGAAGGAAGTTCTAACGGCTGGATCCACACGCGGCTGGCGCGCCTCTCCCGCACAGCTACCTCCTCGGCCCTCCCACCCAGCCACCCCGGCCCCCGCCCGTTTTTGGCGTGACGTCTCGCTCTCGCTTGTTGTCTCTTTCTGCCCATGATAAGTCTTTCCGAGATGCCAGCTCACGGCCCTGATCTTGCAAGCAGTGGAAACGCGGAAACCGGAATGCATCTCCGCACGCACTCGGGTGTCCGCATTGGAGCAGGCGCGCCCAAACCGCGAGGGGACCAAGTCCCACTACCGGGTTTGCGCTTTTACCCCGCTCAGTGTTTGCAGGAGTACTGTTGGGTGCCAGAATCTACTAGCCTGCCACGCAACTTCCCACAGAAATCCTGGCGTGGAGAGGCGGGGGCAGGGCGGGTTGCGCGCTGGTATGAAAGCCTCAGGCTGCAGACGAGGAGACAGGCTTTGGTGAGCTGGGAGGCGTGAGACCGAGGGTCTCTAATGGGCGCCTAGTGCCGGCGGGACTCAAGTCTGGCCGCGTAGCCCGGGAGGCGGCCGCAGCGGAGTCTCACCGGGCTTAGCGCTAAGCCCACCCACTTTCCAGTTGTGTCCCTGGGGGACTCTTCTCCGTGTGGGCATCGGAGGCAAGTATCCCCAGCTCTCTTACACGGTGTTAAACTGCTCTCGGACGCCGGCGAAGCTTGTTTGCCCTTGACTGCTAGGGGCTGCCCCCGGCGGCGGCGGGGGGTGGGGGGCAGTGTGTCTTGTAGGAGGTTCTTGCCCCAAACTTGTTATCCGGGCTGCAGGCTGGGAGAGCAGCCCCACCTCCACCCTGACCGCTCCGGGTGTCTTGGGCCGCGAGGCTGCCCTTCCCTGCGCGGTCTCACACCCACGAATTGGGCACAGGCCCCCAGCTCCTCCAGGAACCGGCAGAGCTCCGTGGGGGTAGGGCACGGACGGGGGCGGGGGCGGGGGGGTTGTGAAATTGACCGGTTCAGGCGCTTTCCCCACGCTGGAGTTGTGTCCACACTCAAAGAGAAGAAATGACATTTGTCTTTCCCCAAACAAGCCAACTTACTTAGCACCCGCCACTCTGAACAACTGATAGCCACTCTTTCCTGATTTCTGCTTGTTTCTTTTTGTCTTCCCACCACTCACGTCGTCCGAGCCTGGGAACCGCGCTGTTTAGACTTTGTCCGGGTCTCACGCAGGATTGCTTCGACGCTGGTTGGAACAGAGTTGGACCGACAATGTTTTGACTGGCGTCGTTGTGACAAGGTCATCAGTCATTCTTGGATAGATTGATAGTACCCAAGTTTCAGGCCAACACCACGAGGGAAAACCCACGTGCTGTGGGCCCCGAGGCTAACCGAGCAGTCTGCGCGGGCTTTGAACAACTCCATCGCGAGAAGAGTAGGAAGTTCCAGGCCCGTTTCAATCCACTTGCTGGAAAAACGGCCTAAGAGAAGCTGTAGGGCCTCGGGAAACGGGGCAAGCAAGCTCTCTTTCTCGCACTCTGCTGGCTCCTCGCTGGATCTCTGGGAGAGACTGGGAGCGCGGGGGAAGGGAGCGCCGACGCAGCCGGCAGCGGCCCCGCCGCCTTCTTGTTTAGAGCCAAGCCCGCTGCGCACGAGCGTTTGGTAACCCGGGACTGGCCTTCTCCGAGAACTCCTCCAAACACACTGGAAATTCTCGAGATTTTCAGACGCCAGTGGCAGGAACTGCTCCCAAGGCCTCCTGGCGCCCATACCCTGGGAAGCCAGGGGTCTGCCTTTCTAGGAAGATTAGGGGATCGGTCCACGAGAGCCTCGGATTGGCCAGGCGCGGGTAGGAGCTTCCACTAAATTTATTCTGCCTAGCAGCGCCGCGGAGAGAGCGTTACTATTAACCCCATGTTACAGATTGGGGACACTGAGGCTCAGAAACTAGGTTTCCTCAGGTCACACCATTGTTGAGCGCTGGAAACCGGGCCAATGAGGTACCACGTGTACTCTCCTGCCCACCCTGGTCCAACCTCTCTCCTCACCTTCCAGACTGACGCCAGAGGGGTGTCTGGTATCTCGAGGGAGATTTGGCTCCCTTTGCCTTGTGGGGGGTCAAGGGGAGAAGCGGAGACTGCAACCGGAGCCTCGGTCCGTCCCTATGCCAGGATGTGGTGTCCCTGACTCATCAGGTTCGACGGGGCCTTAGGGTGCAAAGGCCTTAGAGAACATGCGCGAAGGAGGCAGTTAAAAGTTAGAGCGGGCGCTCAGAAGGCCGGGGAGTCCAGGGGCGCAAGACCAGGTTTGGAGCGGAGTGCTGCGGAAGTCCGAGCATTCCCCAGCGCCTCCCCAGGGTGCCCACGACTCGGGGTCAGGGCGCTGCTGGCACCAGGATGAGGCCGGAGGGGCTGGGCCGGGGCCGAGGTCAGCGTGGTCCCACCACCCGCGGGCGCAGAGCTGCGTCGGCCGGCCCGCCCGCGGTCCCCGGGAGCTCAGTGCCCGCGGAGGCCGCCGCCCACCTACCCAGCTGAGCCCGGGCCCCTCGGGCTCGCCGCCTCCCTGGCACATCTCCTCCCAGGGTCTTAGAAAGCGAGCCACCGGCCGCAAGGACAGGCGCCCCTCAAATCTGCTACCCTCCTCTTCATTATTTAGAAGACGACCGCGGAAACAAATCACTTGCACCACTTAGGAAGCGATCAAACCTTTATAAAAATCCATCGCTCCCAAATCGATGGACGAATATTTGCTGGGAATTTGTTCCAGAGGAATAAATAAGGAGCGTGAGTGTATTAAATGCAAACGGGGGGACACGGTGGTGTTTTTCTTCATTGATTAATGACCTCTAAAATAAAACAAGTGGGAAGAGGAGTCGGGATCGATAAATTAACTACCCAAATTCATCATTTTCTCGAGCAATTTTTTTTCCCTGAAAATTATCCTTGGGAAGCCCATTGCACCCTGAGCTGGGAGGGGAAGACGGGAGCTGGAGGCGGAAGCAGGCGGGAGTGGCAGGAAAGGGCAGGAAAACAAGAAGAGGATTCGGTCAGGGAGACCCTCTATCTGATTTCGTTTGACATACAATTTTAAAGTTTGCCTTTCATATTAATTATTTTTTTTTTCCTGATGGAGGAGGGGAACAAATGGTCCACTGCCTTTGACAGGACTCCAATAAAGGATTCAGCAGCTCTCCTGTCTGCCCTCGGCGCTCCCGCTTCTAGGTTTAAGGTCATGGATGGCTGAGTTAATAATTCATTAATATAGACATTTATTCAGAAGGGTTCTCTGAGACCCGCTCTCCCACCTCCTCCCGGAGATTTATTTTCCTGGGAAATGGAGGGGGCGGGGGTGTTGGGCTGCAGGTGAAAGGAGGGAGAAGGAGAAAAAGGGAAAAGAAGGGAGAGCTGGACCCAGCTAGGAGGAATCTTTATTTAGCCAGATTCGTGGACAGGTCCCTCCAGCCTACTGACAAAAACTTGGTAGAAAATGTGGCATCCAAACAGCGCAGGGACTCTGGCCTCCAGCAGTCCTCCTGCCTCTGTAGACATTGCCTTATTCACGAGGCCCCCTTCCTCCAGCTTGAAGATCTGGAAGAGCGTCTGAGGACTCTGGAATGCAGGCAAAAGGGGGGAATCTCTGGAAAGAGATGATCCTACCCCCTTACCCCCCAACCCCGCCAGCTCCTACGAAGTTCCCAAAGGAGCTTTGCAACTTGCACCCATGTCAAAGGGCACAGAGGGATCCTGGTGGATAGTGTCCCCTCAGAAAGGCACTATGGGGGCATGCAAACCAAAGCAAACCACCAAGCCCAGATCCACAAGAAGTCTATCCTGGGCAGGGCGGGGAGGGGGGTGCGGTAGGAAAAAAAGAAACAATGAACAAGGAGCTGTCAGATACTCATAAGTGCTCTGGGGAGCAACTGAGGAAGGGCAAGGGGGAAAGAACATGCCGTGGGCCAGCGGGTGTTAGTAACTGAAATACAGTGGTCAGGAAAGGCTCCTCTTCTAACTGGAATACAGACTCAAAGCAAGAGGAGGACTGTCCTGTGCCTGGCATGGGGCATTCGCTATGCCACCCTCCTGGCCCTGGGGCTCCCTTAATAAAAGGGCCTCCTCTCAAGGAGCCCCAAGGCCCTGGGGAGGAGTCTGCCTTGTCAGCTTCTGGACACTGGGCTCCCTCTGCTCCCACCGGTTCCCCCCAGCTCCGGAAAGATGCTGTGAGCTCCTCCATGTCCTTGCAAAGGCAATGTTGACATCAGCGGAAGTCGGCTCTGTTGCTGGGGACTTAGAGCCTTCCCACCCCCAACTACTCTGTTTCTTCAACGTTCAAACGGAAGGATGGGACTAATGCAGCTTTCCATCCTCAGGTTTTTATGAAGGAGCTACCAAATTCTGACCTCCATCTCTATGATTTTATACCCAACCTCAGAGAGTCTAAGATGTGTGGAATGCAACACGTACTGAGAAACCAAAAACAAGGAAACCCATACCACTTACGCTAATCACTGCCATTTTCCCACTGACCCTTGGCATCTTCCCCGCTTTGTCCTCACTCAGTGACAAAAAGCAGTGTGTGGGAAAGAAAGGCCACCAGTGAGGGCCGGGGTGGGGGGAACGGAAGTTGCTGAAAAGCTCTTTCCTCGGAGGCTGCAGCAGGAGGCTCTCCATCCTGAGGCCTTGGCCGTTCAGACCCCGCATCTGCTCTGCCTG